GCAGCACACTAATTGTGTTCTTTTTTGTTGGCTATTATAGCTGTTGACAGTGAGGACATCCGGGACGGCGGGGGTGCTGACGAGCTGAACAGAGCACGGATAAGGCCAGATATGGGTTAGATGTCGGTTATGGATTGTCTTTCCCTTGGGTTGTTAAAGATGCATTACAGTTAAACAATAATTCATCATCCATTTTCTTACATTTATTGTATGCGACCAGTGATTAATGCACTTCAGTGCAACAAGATATTTTAGTATTTATCTGAATGCTATATAATTACCATAGAGATAATTTGCGACCTAAAATTTATTATTTACCTGTTACAACATACAGATACCAGCTTGATTCTAATATATTGTACATTACTGCCCTACCTTTTATGTTGTTAATGTTTAGTGGCACTTTAATGGCACCTGAGAATGAAACTCTGTTAGTAACAACATTACAAATAAAGTGGTGATATTGCACTCTGAATTGTTGAAGATAATCTGGGGGGAAAAGGAGCCATTAGCACACAGTACGCAGCCAAGTGGGGAGGTTTATTAAAATGCATTTCAGTTTTAAGTACAGTAGGCCTATATAATGTTTTTACAAATGTAAAATCGCTTTATAAGTCATACATGGGTTAATGTGTAACTCATTTGGGAACAACCTGCTTACAGAAGGTTTGTGAGGGCAGCCACATACAATGAACAACATCATCTAAGTATGGTGCAAGCCTGCGCAAAGGAAATAACTGTTTGTAAAATCTTTAAAGTTTTTTCCACCGAACCAATAAATCGCTCTAACATGATCCTCACACGAGAAAGTTGTCTAGATGTGTCCACTTCCTGTGCAGAAAAGCTGCATCTTTCCTTTTGTGAAATGAGGGATAACGAAGGGATTGCACCATAGGGCTGTGGCGCAAGCTCATCTCTGATGAGAAATCCTCGTGTCTGCTAAAAACTCATCCCTAGGCTCCACAAAAGTTTGAGAAACCTGACTCCTTATGATCTGCTTGTCTGAAACCATCGCACCGCCACCCAGGAGACAGAAAGAAAGTTGCAGCCCAGCTGGAGTGAATGACCGATCAAGATATTAATTGTGTTGTTTTTTATATTATGAACCATGTCGGGCCTGAGTCAGATGACTGGGTCTAGCATAATGAACAGTTTCTGTGCATCATTTATGCCCCGGCATCTTCTAAAGTTGGCGCTTGAAAGTTTTTGGCATATTTTAAGTATGCACCTTACTTGGCTCATTTATGAAGTGGCTTGAGACCAGGCATGCGGGACCAGCTCCCCAAAATATTTGATAAGGGGTTTTTGATAACTGAAATCTATAAGCCAAGTCAGCTATTACATAGGCCTTCAACCTTTAATTTCATCCAATATAAGCAAGGTGGTCCCTCTAACTGTAAGTTGTTGTGAATTCTTTTCTACGCTGCCCATCAATTTTTGTAATCAGCCACTCAAAGACCACCAGAAGTCAGTCCCTGTGAGATAAATCAATTGTTCCAATGTTGCACTTAACAGTGGGTGCTAGGAGAATCTAGATTTTTGCAGCTCCTCTTTCCAGTTTTACATTTTTCTGCTCGGAGTGTGTCAAACTCCTGTCGGCAGGTTGACAATATCTCCTACTGAAGTTGACTGTATCTCAGGTTCAGATCATCGTACCTCCTCTTTGGAACTGGGACTATCCTCTTCAGCTTTAAATAGAAAAGTGAAAAATTAGCATGTGCTGCAAACAATGAAACAGTTCACAATTCCGGGGTTCTCACACATTTTTACCAATGAATTTCAAAAACTTTTACATGACAGAAGAGAATATAGCATTATCGATCCAGGGGGACAGATTTTCCTCTGCATTTTGACCCAACCAGGGGCCAGTGTACACGTCACAGCACAGACATACATAGCAATTGGAGCAGTGGGGCCCTGGCCAGGAGCACACACAGCGACTAGGAGCACACTGACCTCTTTCAGTGAAGGGTGGAAACCCTGAGCGAATCAATCAAGTTAATTGTAAGATGAATATTCATATATTCATAAATATTATTCATACCAGGACAATGATTCATGCTGCATTCCTGTTCTTGATCCATGCTGCATTCTTGTTCTGGAATTTCAGAAAAGTAACACGTTGATTTGCTGCAAGTGTCAGCTCCTCGCTCCCTTTTCCTATGGTACCTACAGTAACAGCAGCCAGAATTTCATAGTTAGACAATCCATTATGCTCAAAACAGGCAGCTGTAGGCACCAAAAGCTTATGCAAGAGAGGTACAACAAAACAAAAACAAAAACTGACTGAGAGGAATGGTCAACCTCTAATCTTACCCTGTCCATCTTTGAATTTGGGTTGCTGACTTTGTTTTGTGTACCATGAAGCACAGATGGCACAAATCAGGAACTACTAGAAGTCCAATGATGGCCTCAGCACTGCAAAAAATAAAACACAAACACGCTTTGTTTAGCCCTAGGCAAGCTACTAGGCAAATCTAACGCCAGCTTATCAAACTTTAGCCTGCATTTGATTATTTATTCTACATCATACAGACAAATCCCTAAATGTAAAAGCAAGGCTCCTCACCGTAAAATCAAAGAGTAGGCGCTAGATAACCTCATTACCTGATATAAAGTGGGCGCTGCAGACGCGAGCATTCTTTTGATTATGTCGCTTCATTCCCAGTCCCACACGTTTAATCCGGCCTGCAAGGCCCCAACAGACCGCCCGCCGGTTGCCTCTGAAATGTGCCGTGGTCCTCCTCGGAATCCTATAAAAACTTTAGTCCCGCCGGTGGAATACGCATTCGTAACAACCGTATACGCAACAACCAGACCATGTTGATGCTGGGTACAGTTTGTAAAATGCTTGCTAACCAGTTGCTACCCTCGTCTTGTCATTCAGAAACTGCTTGAAAACAACAGCCACTTCCGTTGCGATAAATGTGTCGCAAAAATAATTTTCACCTGTAGATGTGGGGGGAGGGAGGGGGGTTGGAGCGAAGGGGCGGAGCTATCAGAACGACGAGGCTCGGGTGACTGGAGACTGCGGGGCGAACGGTTCGTTTTGCTACCAGTCCGCTGACATGGCGCGTCAATCAACGGTAAGTTTTGCCCATTACTTGCCCAGTATTACTTTGAATATTATTGTGATTGAGTATTAAATCCGCTTTGAAGACCACCGTTTTATATCGTGCAGTTTAGGGGCAAAATAACGTCGGTTAGCCAGCTAACGCTAGCTTTGTTGAGTTTATGCTAGCTAAACAAGTAGTTGTTGTAGTCTACAGCAGTAATTAATATATTATAGCCTACTGCTTTGGCACTAACGGTTGATAACCGTTTATGAAAATAAAACCAATTGAACTGTACTGAAATAATGACAAGCTTTATAATTGTCTTGGGCTCCTGCTGTGTTTGTAAAGCCTTTGTAAATGATCCATGTTATTGTCTATTTTGAACGAAGACTTCAGAATCTTAAAATCCCTTGACGTTTGTATGCAATTGTGCTAAATTCAACTCTGGAATCAAGCAAATATTAATATGTTTGCATGACATTAGTTATTTATATTTTGCCATCATTTAATTATACGTTTAATACATTTAAGTCAAGCTAAGGTACATGTGATGGTAGCTAGTTAGTGCTCTTACCTGTGATGTCTCCTCCAAACAGCATTATAACCAGACTGTATCATTAAAACTAAGTAGCCTACCAGTTCTAGATCCTTGACTTTAGACCACTGGTTCTCAACGGGGGCGGTACCGCCCCCCAGGGGGCGTTCAGAGAACATCGGGGGGCGCTGGAAGCAATATTTTTGAAAGGGGGGCGTTGGAGGTGTTCGTTGGGGGGNAGGTCGTACCGGATGACTGCGGCAACGGTTCGTGTCGCTACCAGTCCGCTGACATGGCGCGTCAATCAACGGTAAGTTTTGCCCATTACTTGCCCAGTATTACTATACTGGGCAAGTAATGGGCAAAACTTACCGTTGATTGACGCGCCATGTCAGCGGACTGGTAGCGACACGAACCGTTGCCGCAGTCATCCGGTACGACCTGGCTGACTATGGCTGTGACTGTGTGACTGACCCAAGCTTCGTCATTCTGATTGCTCCGCCCCTCCACTCCAACCCCCCTCCCTCCCCCCAGGTGAAAATTACTTTTGCGACACATTTATCGCAAGAAGTGTAGCAAAAGACAAGACCGCAGATTCGTCGATTTATACTGCCACAGAGCAGATTCGTCAAGTTGTAATGACTGATTTGAGAGGTTGTAATAACCAAGTTGCAGTTGTAATTGAAAATATATGTTAAAAATATGTATTTTTCTGCAAGTGAACATTTCATAACTAAGTTCATTTTTTTTCTACAAGCTACAAAACTTTTTTTTCTCTTCTGTGACTTCAAATTTGATTTAACAGTTGCGTGGATATTTTATACAAATGTAAATGTATGCACACAAGCTCAGATTTTTTTTCTGCAAGTGCTCACATTTTACACGCTCTCGCATTTTGCACCATATCTACCTTCATAGATTCAACATCGGACTGGCATTAAGTCATTGGCAAGAGCTTCTCAAAAATAAATAAAAGGCTAATAGACAAACGCCAACCTGGCCTTCCTGCTGTTGGTCTAAATGTATTGCCATTTCTTGAACAATTCCCCTAAAACTATTTAAATAAGATTTGTGTTAAATGTATTTTCAAACTAAATCCAAAGGTCTCAAGGTAATTACTATGTTTGGCTTTTCAGCCATATTTTACCATTGTAAAATCAAGACCCTTATTTTACTATTCATTAATCATTCAAATCATTCAGTCCCTTTTTCCTAAAAAATACATTCTAAAAACAATATGGTTTACATTTTACTAGTAGTCAGACCTACAGTATATAGATCTGATTTCATCCAGAAGATAATGACTTTTTATGGTCCTCTGATTTTCCGGATTATCTTATTAGTTCTAATTATTCCCTTAATCTTGATTCGTTCTTGTTTTTCTTCGCCTTTTCTGTCTTCGTCTTTTTCTCAGTGTTTGCCTTTATTCAGTCGATTTTCATCTTCTTTGATAGGTTATTGTGCATTTGAAGCCAATGTCTTACATTATGGTATTATACAAATACAATCTAAATAAATATAGTTTGCCTGCCTGTGAGTGCAACCCATTAAGATGACTTACTGAGTGACAGGAACAACTAAACCTTTTAATTTTCACACAAGCTGTGCAATCCGTTACCTGTTTCTATCTGGCTGCTGTGCAGTACTTAATTAGCTGCTTTTTCTAGCTCACTGAATGTAGGTGTCAACCCAGAGACTCACAGAAATACTGCAGACTCACACATGCTGTGCTATGACTTTATTGGAAAAAATATTTTATGCACAAGAAAGGGGGCGAAGCCTGCGAGCTAGTTCAGGCAGTCAACTCGAGCACCAATGATACATTAACACGTGACGCACCTCGTCCCTCTTACAACCAACCAAACACATTCTCCTAAACATGCCGCTCTATTATCCAAACTGGCCCAGGTCTTCCTGCCTCTGCCTCGGCTATGCTGCTGCTGCCAAGCTGCTCTGTTCAGTTCCTGCTGCTGTGTTTCATGTTTGCTGCTTGCTCGCCTGCCCCCACCACCCACCCCAGCTCCCCTGTGGGCTCTGGGGATGGTTATCTAATCATCACTCAATGTTCTTTGTAAATCTGGGAGTGATGAGGGCCCGAGCCTAGACGCAAACCAAACTATATGCTGCCTATAAAAACATATTAAGAAACACGTGAGTTGTCTGACGAACTAGCATTTATGGCAAATCCCATTCTGTGAAATGATGTTTTTAAAGGGGTGTTACAAGTCACCATAGTGATAAAGTTGATAATTGTCAACACTGGTTTCCAAGTGTGTTTAATTTTGTGCCCCTACTTTCGGTGTGTGAAATTTTTTGATGGACTTGA